CCCTCCACCTTACCAAGCATGACATCCTTCTCCAGGAAATGGTCCCCTCTGACAACATAACCAAATTAGGTGAGACAAAATCTGGCCACCCTTGCTTCCAAGGAGCATCTTGGCCACACATCCTCCAGGACGGATCTGTTAGTTCTTTTGGCAGTCCATGGTACCTTCAACATTCTTCACCAGCACCACAACTCAAAAGCATCAACTCTTCTTCGGTCTTCCTTATTCATTGTTTAGCTCTCACATGCATACGAGGTGATTGGAAATATCATGGCCTGTGTCAGGCACACCTTAGTCCTCAAGGAAACATCCTTGCTTCTCAGCACATGAAAGAGTTCCTTCACAGCCGACCTGCCCAGTGCTACATGTCGTCTAATGTCCTGACTGCTGCTTCCATTGGCCTTGATTGTAGAACCAAGCAACATAAATTCTTTGACAACCTCAATCTTTTCTCCATTTATCATGATGCTGCTTAATGGTCTAGTTGTGAGGGATTTTGTATACAGACAATGTATACCATTGGGCAAATCAGCTGCAAAGGACCTCTTCCAAGTGCTGAAGAGCACAGCTGATCCTTGAGGACTAAGGTGTTCCTGACACAGCCATGATATTTTCAATCACCTCCTATGCATGCAAGAGCTGGACAATGCATAAGGAAGACCGAAGAAGAATCAATGACTTGATGGCACCTAACAACAATAACACAGTTGCATCTAAGCAATCCATGAATTTCTAAATTCATAAGCACTAAGAGTTCCTGAAAGGTGTTGACACTGTGATCAGCAATGTTTCCAGATGACATAGAATTAAAGGCTACTACATCTTGCCAGAACCCCAACCCAGTACTACAGTTAAGCACAATTAGATAAAGGACAATTTATTCCTCATATTACACTAACAGCTGACATATAGAAGTCTTTATTTGCATTAAAGGGACATGAGAAGAAAGGAAGCATTAAATTATCTTTCAGAATGTGCATCCCTGAAATGTATTTTTGTACATGAGTCTTTTGAGATGCCCTCTGGATAAGGGGTTCAAATTATTAAACCTAAAGTGCAATAGTCTGTGGCAAAGAAAGAGTTTGACTATGTGAATGAGACAAAACAAAAAGCCCTGGGGGTTAGAGAAATGCCTTAAAGGAAGGATAAGAAAATTGTGTATCTGTCACGTATTATAAAAATATAACTTCAGGAATATACATTTTTGTTTTTGGAATTTTAACTTTCAGTCCAAAACTATTGCTCAGTCATGTCTTTGTCTCTTCCTATTGCAGAGATATATCTCAGGTGATATAACAAGATGAAGGCTGTTAAGGAAGCTGCTCAAAATAAAAGGTCTCTAAAAAGCAATAGCTTCAGCTTAACTGTGAAGTCTTCCCTGTGGAGCCATTTTCAGACACATGGGCCTAATGCATATCATGTATCTTCCTCTTCTTCAACAAACTGAAAAGCAAAAACACTCCAGGAAAAAAGACAACAAAATCAGGCTTGTCAAGGCAACACTTAATTACTTCAGCCCAAATTATTGATTTTTCAGTGGTTTTACCCAAAATTTATCCAAAATAAGGAAATCCTAGAAAAGGTCATTTTTTAAAGATACTGTTATTTAACTTATGGCTTATCCTCACTTGAGAAACAATGCTTATTCAATGTCACTTGTTTTATATAATAGATGGACTCCTCCAAATAAATACAAAGCATCAAAAATGTAGGCCTACTTATTCTTTCAATCAGAGGCAGCTCTACTGTAAGTTGATCTGGGAGACACCATGATCTCCATAGATGTAGAGCTGCAAGTGATGCAATCAATTCCATTCTCATCTTAAAAAATTAAAAGTGAAATTTAACTTTCCCAAGGTTTGGCAAAAACTATCCTTTTTTGTTCCTTCTATCAGTATGCTACCCCAACACAAGTATTAAGAAATCAAGACATGACTTTTAGTAGGAACCTCACAAACTCTAGAACTACATTCATTTCAAATGGATCATAGTTGAGAAAAATAGCCTCAAACCAAAGAGCAGTACAATCAGTTATATCCACAAAGGCTGAGTTTCAGTTCAGAATTCTGTCATGTTATTTTACTCACCAAATCCTTTATGAAGGAATAAACTTTCTAATGTCATATGTATAAATGATGATAAACATCTTGGAAAAGTCAGAAATCAAAAAAAAAAAAAAGTTCATATTCTTTAACTCAGTGGTCTAGTTCCTGGAAATTTATTCTACAAAAATAATACAAACAAAAACAGGATCAAAACAGGTATGTGTGCAAACATTCTCAGTGCAATGGGGGTAAACGCCTGTACATGTATATTAAAATATGTTATATTCGCTGTATGGCATATTATGTAGCTTTTAAAATTATAGAAATGTGTTTATCGTTATATAAAATAAGGGCAACATTTGTCTCTTGTTTGCTTCTTACTGCTCTCTGGCATTCTCTCACCTTTTCTGTGAGCCTTTCTAGAGAAGTTTGCACTGTGATCATCAATTATCTCTTAAGTGTTAAATCCTGTGTGACTATTAACCTGTTATTCTGGTTGAACTTCAACAGAAGGCAAAAATAAAATCAGCCTTCACTGTTACCATCCTCCTATTCCCTTATTACCTCCCTCCCTCTCTCTCCTCCTTCTTCAGTCAACAAAAACTTTCATATACTTAGCTTCTCCTCTGGTATTCTCTACTCAGAAATTTGAGAGTCTTCTCTTTTACCCTAAAATTACACCTACATATCTGTTGAAACCCAGAATTCCCATCTCCTTAACTAAGATCTCATACTGAAATTGCATCCCTGCTGCCCGCCTTCCAGTCATTTCACAACCTAATTCATCCTCCATCTTCCCACTGAGTGATCTTTCAAAAATATATTTCTGATCATATTACTTTTTCCAGAAGTGAGATACATTCAAATAGTTTGTATAGCGTAAAAGAACTTTCTTAAATCCCTGCTTTTTTCAACAGCCTCATTTCTCACTACTCTGATCTATTCCTGTGCCCTTAATCACACTGAGCTACTTGTGCACCCCCTTGATTCTGGGCATAGTGAAATCCCTTGCTACAATGTCTCTTTTCACTTCATTTGCCCCATGCTCTCCAGTATCTTCTTTTACAGTTCTAGAGCACTCTTTACATACTTCTGACTTCTTTACATGTCCATCTCTCCCACTATATTATGGTCTCCTCTGGTCACAGCACTGTGTCTTATTCAATTTTGCATCCCCAACTATATTAAAATGCCTGAAATTTAGTAGAAACAGAAATATTTCTTGAGTGAATGAAGTAAATGGATGAAAAAACTGCAAGTATGTAAAATATACATACGTACAGATGAAGACCAAAAATAAATGTGGGAAAATGAGAAGTTATGATAACTAGACTAAAAGTAATTTTTCTATTTTTAGTTATCTTTTTTTGGAAACCACAGTCCAAAAAGAAAAGATCTTTAAAACCCATAGTAAATGCTCACTATAAAAATCCCATTGATCACTAAATGCTGATTAGCAATACTCTTATTGTTTATAATAGTGGGATTTTTTTCTATATACTCAGATGAAATTAGTAGCGTTTTTCTGGGAAAATTTTTATACCAAATAGATTCCCTATATAAAAAAGGATTGGTCCAAAGTCACAATATTAAAACTCACTCAAGATATTAGAATCTTTTTTTTTTTTTCTTTTTTAAAATGGGAAGGGAATTTCCAAAAGGTTAGCTTAATGTTTCCATCCTAAGTAACAATCTTCAAAAGTTCACATATGCAATTCTGTCTATATGCAGAATGTGAAATTACAAATGGGAATGAAACACTCATCAATCAAACATCAAATACTAACAGAATTCAGGAAACACTTTGCATTTCCAATTATGCTTTATCGCTTTGCATATCCGAAGCTCCCTAGCAGATAAAAGAACATCTTGGGAGAGAGAATAAAATATTATGCTTTCTTAAGATTTTATGTATCTCTTAATGTATTTGTGTGTGTTGAGAGAGAAAAATACCAAACGTGTTACCAAAGATATTCTTAATTTACCATGATTAGTTATGTATCTCAACTGGTATTACTTTGCATAAGACTAGTCTCTGTCCTTGACTTAATCTTTAGCTAAAGTTTCAGTGAAGAAGCACTTCCATTGCTATTGGTACATAAAATTATACAGGTGCAGAAAGAAATACTTTCTATTGCTTACTAGAAAAACTATGATAGTAGTAAATTCTCTCTCTGCCAGCTGAAATTCCCTCATTATGGCCTGAGAAGCTTAGAACTAGCAAAAACTATACAGATCTAGTCAAGTGCTTTCTAACCTTTTGTGCAGCCTGTCACATATAAAATTGTAGTAGTTAAGCAAGATGAGGGGGGAGAGTTACTACTTGGTGAATCACCACAGGGTACTGCTCTTAAAATCTTAGGTGCCAAAATTTCAAGTTTACCAAAAAAGCCAGATAAATCTTATATTTCAACTGTTGCAAATGTTTGGTTAGTTGTGGGAAAATAAAATTTAAATTTTAAATAATTTCGCCCCAGATACTTTTATTTACATAAACTATAAAATTATAACAAGCATTTTAAAAATCCCATAGCATTTTAAAAATCAACACTGTTTCAAAATATGAGGATTTGGACAGGCTGTGGTCTTGTCTGGCCTGTGGTCCCTGAGATTGGCGAATTTTTGTGGCTTTGTCCTCAGATCAGCTAAAGTGTGTGTCTAAGCTTGAACTTCTATCGTATTTCTGCCTCTGCTGATGGGGTGGGCTCAGAACGGGACTCTCCTTTCTCAGGCGTGTCTCTCTCTCTCTCTCTCTCTCTCTCTCTCTCTCAGAGCTCTGCAAATAGGAGTTCTCTGCAGTGAGCTGTCCTGGTTGGGGCATCTGGGGTCAGGCTTCTGCTCCTTTATAGGCCCTAATTTCACCTCAGTATGTTTTCTGGAACATGATGCGTCCATCTCCTTTTTAGTATGGCCTCTGCCTGGTATGGACGATTGCTGCTCTGTTTATCCTCATCTTTAACTGGCACGGCAAGTCTTCTCTCTGTTCTTAGTTTGTTTGCCTTGTATGTGCTGTTTTGAGAGTGCTTCACCTTTGGAGCCTTCAGATGGACTGGATGAGGGTGTCTGGGCCCCACAGCCCTTCTCCCAGAGCTCTCTGGTCTCATCATCCACGTTCTCTGAGTCTCGAGGGGGCCGGTAATTTGAAACGTGATCTACTCGGATAGTTCTTCCCTTGATCTTGATGCCATTAAAATTGTCAACAGCTAGCACTGTACTCCTCTGGTCTTCATAGCAAATAAAACAAAATCCTTTGGACTTCCCGGTCTTCCTGTCTCGAACAAGATTAATGTTAACTATCTCCCCGTACTGGGAGAATACACAGAGAATATCTCCTTCTGTCAGTTCATAAGGAAGCCCACCCAGGAAGATCCAGGAGCTGTCCTTGTATTCCGAGTGCCAGGATGCTTTAGTATCCACCCTACCCTCAGCCTCCAGCTCATTCAGCTGGCTGATCAGCTTCACTTTAGTTAAGTGATTCATCATCTCAGGCGGAGGCACGACATAATGGCGGCTGAACGACACCACTTCCGGCGGAAGCATGCTTCCGCTGGAAGCTTTCAAAGCATGAGTCCAGTCCTCGCTTGCTCTCCCCAGTCGCACTCGGTTGACATTCAAATTACAGCTCCGTATGTTACTCACTGTTTGCAGTGTAAAATGTGGTACTGACCACTAGTTTGGAAGTTCTAACCCAGTCTATTTTCAAAATGGGGTGGCCAGCTTGTGAAAGTTGTGACTCTACTGGTTGTAATTCTACTAATTCAGACTTTTCCGCATATAACAAGAACTTTTCGAAGCCTACAAATACGTTAGAATTACTTTGTCTAAGTTCTTCTGAAGAGTGAATATTTGATACGTCACAAGACCAGAATTTAGGCTGAGCTTTACTTAACATATGTCAACACATTTCCAGATTGAATGAACCCCTAGTTATAATCCTGATCCGCTATTTCATGCCTATTTCACTGATGTGCAGTGTGATTTATTGCACTCACTGATGCCAATACTTAGGTGAACACAATGCACAGGGATTTGTGCAGCCTAAAATGGTACTGAGTAACCAAAAGCTAATAACCAACAGAGGCAAAGGCTCCAGTGTGTAAATGAGGTAGCATTTTGTAGCCTTAGTTTGATTTTATTTCTTAAAATGAGCTACCCATTTCTCATGAAACTTCTGCTATTTCTGTTACTCACAAGTCTGTAAGAGCTATGAGATACCCACAAAGGTGTGATTTACTGAGTATCTCAGTCATGTGGTGGTAGTCCTACCTCATAACACCATGAAATAGTCACTTAGATGTAATCCTGATAAACTAGTCATGTGTCCAACATATTAGATTTGAATTTCATTGAAAAATAGCAGACTTGTCATTCTGCCTTTATTATATTATTTCTATCATTTTTGCTAGCATAGATGAAAGGACTCAAAAAGAATACATAATATTGATGAAAGTTGAATAAGTCTTAGAAACCACGACCCAAGAGCAGAAAATATACCTTGACAGTTGTTCAATTCGATTCAAAATTAACTGTCATCTTTAGGGCAAGATATGTGGATTTCTCAGTGATTACAGTGGAATTCTTTACTTTCGAAACAGACTAGTGACATACAGTTGAAGGAGAGATTATGAATATAGCTGTGTACTGGGTAATGAATTTGAAAAGCACTTGTTCACTAGCATAAATAAGTTGCCCCAAGCCTTTTCAATCACAAGAATTCAGGTTATTTTAAATTCTTGAGACCATATGGAAATCAGGAGACAAAAGTCCTTCAGTTATAAATGTGATAGTCATTTAGATAAGGAAGCAGATAAGGAAAATATTCTCTCCAGCACTGATATTACTTGTATCACCTACAAAGATAACAAAGTTATAAAAAACAAACAAACAAAAACTCACTATCATCAGTTGATCCCAACTCATAGTGACCCCTTTGGATTTCTAAGGTGGTAAATCTTTATGGAAATAGATTTCCCAATCTTTCTTCTGCGGAGTAGCTAGTGGGTTTGAACCACCAACCTCTGGTTAGCAGTCAAATGCCTTAGGCACTACCCCACCAGAGCTCCTTACAAAGTTACAAGTGACTCATTAAAACCAAGATAGGAAAATTTTTGGGGGGAGGGGGGAAGAAATCTTAACTAAACAGAAATGTGTAGATAAAATTTGGGCCCCTAGTCCTGTTTGTAAATCTAGTGGTTTCCTGAACTGGGGACCTGAACTTTTGGAGACTTTGATGTGTACTCATATATGTGAAAGTGGAGAAAGAGTGCTAGCAAGAGAGAGCTAGAAAAGAATGAGTAACAGATGACATAGCCTGTGAGACAGAATATTACAGAGATCTGGAGATGTTACCCGTGTTCCTGGTTCTCTGCATTCTTTGTATATTAAAGATTTGTTGTTTGGATTTTTCTGGATTCCATGTGGCATCCCAGTATCATTTTTCATCAAATTATAATTGTTAGCTAAGTTCTTTAAAGTGATTTGTCTGCTAATGTTAATGGAAGAATACCAATTAAAACAAGATGGTAATTGGACATTCAATTTTAGAATGAACTTGCTTTACTGTCAATCTGTCACTGATATTTTCTTTGAAATGTGTCTTCCTTTTTTATTCAATTTTAATTTTAAAGAGACTTTTCATATATTTCTTCCTTCTTCTCCTAAATTTGGCTCCTATACCCTGAATTTTGCCCATAATTACTTAAATTTTAATATTTCCAAAACATGACCCAATATCACATAATGGTAAAGAGCATGGACTATAGTTAGACTGCCTAAATTCGAAGTCTACCTGTTCCACTGTAGTGTACTCATTGGCATGTTATTTAATCTTTTCATGCCTCAAAGTAGGAATATAGAGTCAGAATGTTATGAAGATTAAATGAATTTATATATGCAAATGGCTAGCATAGAGCAAGTGTCATAGAAGAATTTCCTATTATTATTATAAAGCTTGAGCCCTTGCTTAGGCATTAGTCTTCTGTTGTGTGTGTGTGGGGGGGGGTTGGTTTGCCTTTAAGGCTGTTGCAAGGCAAAACTTACCTTCTGGCTGCCCTTTTGGTACAGGCTTTTTGTTGTGTTGTTATGTGCCGTCAAGTCGGACCCGACTCATAGTGACCCCTCCTTGGGTTTCTGAGGCGGTATCACTATGGAGGGAGCTCTGTGCTGTAGCATAGTGGCTAAGGCACTTGACTGCTAACCAGAAGGCTGGCGGTTCAAATCCACCAGCCACTCCTCGGAAGGAAGATGGGGCAATCTACTTCTGTAGTGATACTGAGTCGGGTCCGACTCGACGGCACATAACAACAACAACAACATCACTATGGAAGTAGATTGCTCCATCTTCCTTTCAAGGAGTGGCTGGTGGGTTTGAACTGCCAGCCTTCTGATTAGCAGTCAAATGCCTTAGGCACTAGGTTACCAGAGCTCCCTTGGTACAGGTTAGGAACATATATTCCCCTTGAGACCAGGTTACTTAGGATTCGTTTATTTATTTTCGGTTGTTTTGTTTTTGCTTTTTAAAAAAAAACACTTTTTAGTGATTTGGGTGACCATTTATGGAACAAATCAGTTTTCCATTCAACAACTCATATACTTTTTGTTTCATGTCATTGACTGCAATCCCCTCAATGAAAACATCACTCATCCCACTTCCTCCCTGTGTTTCTCGTTTCCATTCCTCCTTTTTTCCTAACCTTTCCTGCCTTCTGAACTTTGTCCTTGACAAATGTTGCCCTTTTGATCTCCACTGGTTGATTGTTCTAATGAGTGTGTACTTCCCTAGTGTTTTTGTTCACCTTGTAGACCTGTCTATTGTTTGGCTGAAAATTGACCAATGAGGATGAGTTCAGTTCCTGGTCCAAAGGGTGACTAAGATCCATAGCCTTGGGAATTCCATCAGTCTCTATTCAACTAGTAAGCCTGTTTTTTTCCTATGATTTTGAGTTTTGTTCCACATTTTTTTCCCACTCTATTGGGGACCTTCTAATGTGATCGCTTTCAGAGTTGGTCATTAGGGGTAGCTGGGTACCATCTAGTTCTTCTAGTCTCAGGGTTATGGATACTGAGGTTCTCATAGTCCTTTGAATTAATTGTTTCTTTGCATCTGTGATTTTCTTTACTCTTCTTTGCTGCAGATAGGGAGAGACCAAGATTTTCACTTTAGATGGCCACTCACAAATTTTTAAGGCCCCAGTTGCTACTCACCAAAATAGGATGTTAAACATTTTCTTTGTAGATTATGTTGTGCCAATTGACCTTGTTCCCCAAAACTATGGTCCTGAGCCCCTGGCCCAGGGATCCATTCCCTCAAGATTTTTGGTTATGGCTATGAAATTTTCATAACTCTTCCCTATGTATGCTCTACTATACACATGAATATATTTGAGAGATATATATAAAACCAAACTCACCATTGCCGAGCTGATTCCAACTCATAGTGACCCCTCCTGAGTTTCCAAGGCAGTCAATATTTACTGAAGTAGATTGCTCAGTCTTCCTTCCGAGGAGTGGCGAGTGGCTGGTGGGTTTGAACTGCCAGCCTTCTGGTTAGCAGTCAAGTGCTTTAGGCACTATGCTACCAGAGCTTATATACACACACACACACAC